TATTCTCGTTTAAACGAGGGACATCTCGCTTGAGCAAGAAATATTCTCGCCTGAGTGATATTAGGTCTAGAGAGTTACCCATATTCCTGCGACTCCTTGTTTGAGCGAGATCCTTTCTCGCTTGAGTGAGACTGATCTCGCTTGAGCGAGACTGTTCCAAAATGTCCACTTCTACATGACTCAGTCTCGCTTCAGCGAGAACCACCTCGCTTGAGCGAGATACCTTGTACCTAGAACTCTTAATTCTTTCTAGAATGAAGCAATACAAGTTCTCAGTTATAATCCTTAGGTTATTATATACCTAATACACTCAATAACATTAAACACAATAACTACTTTACACTGTAATTATTCAGCTCTTAAATGAACAATCATTCAGCGTTTGTATTCATATTCCAACATATAAAAATTCATACCCTTCAAGCATATACAACATTCAATCTGACGAAAGTAAACAATATTAACCCTCTATATTGCTATTTTAAATTCTAAAAATAATGTCTTCTCAATTTTTGGTCTTAGAAGATCATTCAATATGTATGCATCAATTAAAAATAAGAAAGACATAGTATAGAAGAAATAAAAATTTCTTCAAGTTATATTTTTTTTCTCCAAAAAGGTCTTTTACTTTGATTAAAGTTTGTTAGTTATTTCAGTTCGAAAAGTAGTCTTTAAGGGTCGGATTTACTCTTTCTTTTTAAAAAATTTTGTTTATTCATTCACTGTCACCAATTTTCATTAAAAATACATTATAAAAGAATTTATTAAAATATTTAAAATTAGATCACTCTTAAATTTATTTGTATATACTAACTAAATTTAAACATCATTAAATCCATTTCTTCCATTGAACCTAACGTGTTCCATAAAATATTAGTGTAGTTTGAATAAATTTCTATAAAAGTCTTTATAAAAAATTAGAATAATAATTTTTTATAAATTAGAGATAATTAAAAATAACTTTTATCTTTAAATTTTTTTAAAAATTAAATAGAAAAATATAAAAACATAAATTATCTATAATTTAAAAAAGAAAATTATTTTTTAGACTATTTTTTTCATCAATAATTTCTCTAAATATTAACTCAAACTGATAATTATAAAAAAAAATCTAAACATATCGAATTTGTACAGCTTTTTAACATCAATCTTGAAACTAATGCAAGTTGCTTTCCTTCTTTTTACATTATCTGTACCACTTTTTTTTACTATAACTACTCCGTCTAGCATGATTCTTTGACTTTCCACCCACAAAAGCAAATTGATTTTCAGAAATTACCATCATTATCACAGTTCAGCTTTGCAGACAACACTTTAGCTATTAATTAACATTGTATCTGGTCTCTTAGTTCCTTCACATTTACACAATGAAATCCTTATCTTGTTCCCGCTAAATGGAGCCGTTAAAAAAACTATTTTCCTATTCTCCAATGCTATTGAGCTAAATCCCCTCTAACACTGGTTGATTCCATTTTTTTTACCTAAACCTAGTTTTGAAGAAAAAATTCACCCTTTCGTTAACCTTATTGGTTTCTCCACCCAATTACCAGCCCTTTATATTATTCCCTTTGCTGCATTTTCTTTTCTTCTTTGTATCAAGGAATGAAAAGCCTGGTATTTGAATATCTATCTCTATCTCAATTTACTCCTAGACTTTATACAGTAAGCTCCCGTGCATCCTAGATAGCTTCCATATTACAATACATCATATTGTTCTTTAATTTTAGTAATTTTTTATTTACTTAAATATATTTTTATATTTAAAATAAAATATTGAATTGAAAATTTATTAAAACATCAAAATCAAAGTAATAATAAACTGAAAATACTTTTTTATGAAATAATACTTGCAATTTATGTAGAGTTTATTAAATTATGAAAAATTATAAAATATAAATTAATATTAAACTAAAAAGTAATGACTAATTTTAAAATTAAAATAATTTTAATAAATAAATGTACATAATATATGAATAGGTAATATTACAAAGAAAACAAGTGAACAACATTGGTACACTAAAACAAGTGAATATATACATTAAGAATATTTTTAATTATTTTGAAAAGAAAAATGAAAAAATGAAAGGAAAAAAAACCCTTAAAGGGTATTTTTATTTCTTAATTTTAAAAGCCAAAAAATAAAAAAAATACGTTTAAAAACTTAAATTGACAAAAAATATCATTTATTATTTTTAAAAACAAAAAATTGTATTTAAATAGAGAAACAAACATACTCTAATTTTTTTCTTGTTTAATTTGTTAAGAACTAAATCTTTAATAAAAAATTTAGGTACAAATTTTTAACATAATTTCTATAAAAACAAAAAATAATTTCAACCTAATATTGTCAATCAAAATTGACAAATCATTCAATTTTGTCTTCCTTGAATATATAGACTATAGTTTTTTTTTTTCTTCTTGTATTATACTTCATTGATGGTTTGTGGGGTTTGATGATCATGGAAATTTTGGTTTGATTGCAGGTTCGATGGAAAAAAAATGTGTGTAAGTTTTTTATTGAAGGAAATTTGAATTTGTTGTTCATTATTTTAGAAAACAATTTACAGGGTGGTTTTGTTTAATGGATTTGTACTCTTATCAGTCATTCATCAATATAAATATTCATATTTGTACACTTTACCTTCAAAAGTACAAGTTCCATTTTAAAAGAGTCATATCCAGATATAATATAAATGAATCATACAGATGTAACTGCTCACCAATTCAAAATTGGAGACAAGTCATTTTCCTTCCATCTCGTGTATGATTGATTATAAATGACACATCATCAAGTTTATCATCATCTGAGCAACAAATGTTGCTACCTAGATCTTGGTCCTGAACGGACCTAATCGAACAGTTCAAAACCTCAAACATGTTCATTTATTTGAAAGTTAGACATGCATATATCCATCACAGGGTAGAACATAGTTTGCAGGTAAGGAAACAAGACAAATCTTATGCGAATCCTAATGATTATGAAACACAGTTTTTACGCCACTACTTGTATAATCGGTAATCTGTACCTTATTTAATTTTGAATTTTGAGTTCACTTTTATTAATTGATAGGCCTTAATGTGATTGAGCTGTGAATAATCTGAGTTAGATATTTTGCTACCTATTTGATCAGTTCGTACCCAAATCGAAACTAGCTTGGAAATAAATTTAATTTCTTCTCCAACTTATTTTGATAATTAAATTTTCTAGTCTACATTTGATCATTTGGTAAGCAAAATCAAATTAATGATTCAAACAGTAGTTGTCCCTTTTGATCCAACCGACAATGGCAAATCCCAATTGGGACCAAATTAATATACCAAATCACCTTTCAATTTGCCATACAATACCAACTTACACACTTTTTGCAATCCATTGTATAAATAGGAAAAGATGAACTTCTGCAGGCATTTCTTCTTTATCGACTTTCTTTTCTTCCCCTTAATTAAAAAGGTGCTGAATTGCATTTGCTTCCCACACTGTTAATTTATTAATTTGATCTGAATGATAGCTCCAACTAACGCAGATCTGGGACTGTCTTTATCAGCGCTAGGCCTGCTTTTTCCGTCAATGGATGCCCTTTACAACTATTTGTATGTTTAAAGAAGAAAGGTTAGGTGGAGAGGTTGAGACCCACACTGTGACTAGTTTCAATGTTGAATCCATCATCTTAGCAACTCGATGACTCTATTTTGCTTAATTAGGTACGATATTTCCACACCATTATGATAAGTTACAGCTAATTTGACCAACTAATGACAATGGTTATGCAAATAAAGGATATGGGTCCTAAAGAATGCCAAATCTCACTTACCTAAGACAACAATAATATACCGAATAAGCCTGCTCATACCATAGTTGGTTAAAGCCGTACACTGCACTTTTAATGTTGTCGCGAGAAATCGATCGCATTATGTACGAATGTGTGATTAATGCATCATAACTTTGATCTTAATAGTTCCCTACCGGATTTTACCGTGGAGAGCTTTATATCCCAAATATTGTATCACTGATAACAATATATATTACATTATTATTATTATTATTTAAAATAGGATGATCTGTATTGTAAATAGTTATTTTAATCTTTCCTTCAAGTAGATATATATATATATTCTAAACTATAAAAGAGACAATATCTTATCATCTCACTTATTAGTGGGTTCATGAAACGAAATGCTCAACAACATTGGATTCGGAAAATTGATTAATTAGCAGTTTAATTAACGTTTTCATTTGAAGAGTAGCACAGTAGCCTCAAAGACATAAAATATTTGTTAACAAGTGGTTAGTAAAAATGTTAAAGTAGCATGATGCGGAAAACCCCTTTAAACTGTTAAGTTAAAGCAATTAATAGCGCACTGGTGACAAACACAGCCGGGGTCATGAGAAAAGCAAGGATGCAGGGGTGTGTGGAGAAAAAGTGAAAAACTGTGAGCAGCATGGTAATGAGAACAGTAACATTTGCATGACATCGTGGTGGCATCATCACGTGAAACCTTAATAACAAAGTTATACTACCTAAAAGCCATCCACCACCCGTAACCGTTATTAATGATTCCCATCCCATCCCATCCCTCCAATATCCTGTTACTTCCGCTATAAAGCATCACTGTGCATACATAATTGATTATCAACACCACGCTCGAAATCATTTTTTCCTGCGATATGCAATACCTAATCCTAATTAGTATCACAGTGCTGCCATCACTCCCATGGTCCCGAGGACATTTTCTCCCACCCACATTTATTCTTTATGGTGTTGGGTCACTACCACTGTCACCGTGACTCTGAGTGTGAATGAGCAGTTAACAACCCACTATACACGTGGCAGTTTAGAACCTTTCAGTAAAAATCAACCTCCTTCAACCTTGACAACCAAGACACGCACTAAACGAATAAACGCCAAATCTTATGTCGTTTTAGACTTTTACCTCCACAAACAATGAAACAAACGGTAAACCTCAAACAATCAAGAAAACGACATGCCGTTCTCCAGCGTTCCCGTTACAGTTTAAAAGCCGAGAACCCGTAGGCGTTGTCGCATTTGGCCTCGCGTTGAAAGCGCGACCATACAGCGAAACAATCCGATCACCGGGGACTGGAAATGGTAGCATCTCAAACACGCTGTTCCTAACCGCGACCCCAGCACAGCACTATCGTGCACGTGACATTGACAATGCCTCGTCCCTCTACAACCGCAACGCAAAACATAAAGCAGAGGGTTCTCACGTGCCTGACGAAGCTTTCGGACCGTGATACGCACGCTCTTGGAGCCACGGAGTTAGAGACCATTGCTCGAACCATAGACCAAAATTCAGTGTCAGTGTTCCTCTCTTGCATTCACTCCACCGACGCTTCGGACAAAACACCCGTTCGCAAACAATGTGTGCACCTCGTCGCCATTCTCTCCGAGGCGCACGGCAACGCACTCTCTCCCTTCCTCTCCAAAATCCTTGCCAACATCGTGCGCCGCCTCCGCGACCCCGACTCGTCGGTTCGAGCCGCGTGCGCCGATTCCGTTTCGGTGTTGTCGGCGTGCGTCACGAAGCAGCCGTTTTCGTCCTTTCTGAAGCCGTTGGCTGAGGCGCTGTTCACGGAGCAGGATCCGAACTCGCAGGCTGGCGCTGCTATGTGTCTGGCTTCGGCGATTGATGGAGCTCCGGATCCGGACCCCGCCAGGCTGGCCAAGCTCCTCCCGAGGTTCGAGAAGCTTCTCAAGTGCAAGGTGTTTAAGGCCAAGGCGGCACTGCTTGTGCTCATTGGAAGCGTCGTCGGGGCCGGTGGCGCGTCGAGTCGCGGCGCGTTGACGAACCTCGTTCCTTGTTTGGTGGAGGCGTTGAGCAGCGACGATTGGGCTACCAGGAAGGGTGCAGTTGAGGCGTTGATGAAACTGGCGATAGTGGAGAGGGACTCGTTGTCGGAATTCAAGGCTGGGTGTTTGAAACTTTTCGAGAATCGGCGATTTGATAAGGTGATTTCTTCTTCATCTTTTTTCCCTTTCAGAGAACGTTTTCTGTGCTTATTTACGGTCATTTGGAAAGAAGGTTTTCAATTGCATTGTGTTTGTTTTGCGATTGCTAGCAATTACGGTTGTAATTGGGGTCACGATTGCGGCTGTGGACCACGATTTGAAACGTTGTTAAGAAATTAATTGAAATTTATGTGCTGTTTGTGTGTAGGTGAAGTTGGTTCGGGAAGTTATGAATCAGTTGTTGGATGCATGGAAGCAGATTCCTGATGTTTCGGATGAATTCTCTCCACCTCCTCAATCGCAGTCTTCTTCCAAGGGTATTTATTGATTTTCCTATATTTAGTGTTTGCTTGGTTTTGTTGCTACTGTGATCAACCAGTGGGTGAATTGAATTATAGAAACTCAGATCTTGTTTTTGCTCGAGTCTGAAAAGGGGATCATGGGGAATAAAGGTTATGTTCAGTGTAGGGTTCTTTGATTTTTAGATTAATTGGAAAAGTTTATGGTCTAGAATTTATTTGTGCTCATAGATGAGTATCACTGGTTATTTCTCTCACGTTTTTCTGGTTTTGGGCTGTCGTTTCTGGTTCAGAGAATGCAAGTGATGGGCGCTATCCACATGTCTCTCAAAATTCTTGTAGCCCTGGTTCTGTAATGACTAAATTGAGGAGGAAATCGAGTCCAGTAAGCAAATCAACTCCACCAGATAGATCTACTGCTAGGAATGCTAAAAAGATGAGTGCATTAAGTGATAATCAAATGAGTTCAGGTGTTTTGCGTAAACTGAACCATAACAATTGGGATGTTCAAATTGCTGTGTCAAATGTTCCTGATCATGGTGAACTTCAGCGGAGGGATGAAACAGTTTTGGAAAGAAGCAAAAAGGATAAAAGCAGATTTTTTAAGTCCGAAGCAAGACGGGCTCTATTTGATAAAACTCCTGATGACAAGATTCATAAATTTGGTGGGTCCAAAGGTGGATCTCGTGTGGTTCCTTGTTCTGAAGAGAGTCAAGACTCAGGTCCTGTTGGTAATGTCACCAAAGATGTCCATAGGAATGACAAAGAGAGTGAGGATTTATCTTTGATTCGCGCCCAATTACTTCAAATTGAGAAGCAGCAGTCAAGTCTGCTTGATCTTCTACAGGTTTGTTCAATATGCTCAAACTTTCCGTCCGACATTTTTTTCTTATATCTCTTCTGGTCAACTTATGTCTGCAAGTTTTTTGGAAAGGATGCTTATTGGTTAATATTCATGCTGTGTTTAAATTTCCTCCCCCTTTCTGAAATGTGTATGTATATAGACTCTGTGCGCCAACCTTTGAATGACAAAAATGTCTGACATTATCCAACATATTCTTACAGAAATTCATTGGGAGTTCTGAAAATGGAATGCGATCTTTAGAGACTCGTGTGCATGGCCTTGAATTGGCATTGGATGAGATCTCCTATGATTTGGCTGTGTCAACTGGAAGGATGACTAAAGATGATGCTCCTAGGCATACGTGTTGCCTGCTACCTGGTGCCGAATTTTTAAGCTCCAAATTCTGGAGGAAAACACAGGGCAGGTATTCATCCCACCGATTCTCTACATCTGGTGGCACCCCATCATTAGCTTCCATTCATCACAGAGCCAATAGGAATGCTGAAACTAATTTGACAAGCCACAGATTTAGGGTCCGGGGTGATGGAAGCTTCATCACTAATCCTCTGGCAGAGATTAAAACTAATTCAAGGGAGATTTCAGGCTCTGCAAGATCAGAGCTAGCTTAAAAAGCAGGTTCGCCTTTTAAATCCAGCAGTCTATACCACCATTTAGTAAGCAAGATCGGTGTTGATGAATGTTACGTCCATTCACATGTTTGCATAAATCTTAGCAATTAAACATGGTTTGGCCCAACACGCTTAGGTCCACGGAAGAAAAGTTAAATTTACAATTAACGCTGGATTACAAGACAATGTGGGCATTTTCAATTTCGTCTTTGTACAGCCACATCTCCTTGCTATCCTTACCTCTCAAAACCTTGTGAAAACCCTTGAATCTCTCATGAGACAGTCTCTCACACTTTCACTCCCACGCCTCAAATAATTTCCTCGTACAAGTATAACACAAGAACTTGCCTGACCTGTTGCTCCCTTTAGAACTTGCATGACAAATTCTAGAGGAAAACACGGCCAATATTCATCTTCCCCGCTCACAATTTGCCATTCACTACAGAATTGGCAGGAATGCTGAAACTAAGATGACAAGCTACAAATTCAGCACTTATCCTTTGGCAAAGATCAAAGATTAACACTAGTTCAAGTAATCAAGAGAGATTTCAGCTTTTGCAAGAAAAGAGCCCCTTTTAAAAGTAGGTTTGCTTTCTACATGTAGCAATCTATTGCGTTCGGAAATATCAATCTCTCTCTATGTATTCACTTGCGTACTAGTAATTAGGGAAAAGCATTACACGAGATGATGTCTTTGACACACGAGATAACTTTATTTTAATTATTCTTACATCTCAAATCCTTGTGAGACCCTAGATCTCTTAAAATACATGCTCCTTCGCATTCTCTGTGATTGATGTCTCAAGCATAATAATATACCTGACTAGTTCCATCTTTACACACTTGTTATTAAATAAATACTTTTCTAAATTATAATCTCATATTATAAGCAAACCATTCATATCTCTAAAATATCGCCACAATTTGATGATAATTATAATACTCGAATGTGCTTGTAAAGCAGGTAACAATCAGAATATTAATATTTAAATCAGGAATTTAGGTCAAATATTCTATTAATTTGCAATGTTTGAATTTACTAAAAACGAAAATATTGCAATTTTGAGATTAGTTGCATCGACTAACGCAACTTGTTTGTGTTTTTTTCTTGCATTTTAATTCCAATTACTCTGTTCTATCATCTAATGCTACCATCCCTTTCCTTGCATCCTCTCTTTTCTTACTCTCTATCAGATGTACTGCACAACCTATACTGCAAGCTTGATCTTTTGATTCTCAACTAGCCTGGTGGGAGAAATCCCTCACTAGGGAAGTGTCGCCAATGAAGTAATCAGAATAGTTAGTCACTCTGGAAGGACAAGCTTGATATCATACATTCTTGGTCATAGTTCAGAATTTCATTTAATATGCCGCGATAGTTGTTGGACAAGTACATATAGGGGTTGAGTTTAGGGCTAAATATAAATATTGCTGTTTTCAGTTGAGGGTGAATCTGCACACAGGACTAGCATGAGAAGAACCTACATTAAGCAATATGAGAGCACATATTCTTACTGAATTTAATTTTTTTTTTAATACTAATATAGTATTTTAACGCTTATATTTTCATTTCACTTTCATTATTTTTAACTGTTTTTCTCCTCTCTTTTTTTTTTTTTTCATTTAAAATGAGTGATATTATCCCACTGCCGTTATTCAAAATTTGGGTCCTTTCTTCGGAGTAACAATGTGAGGCGGCTTACTTTGTTGATGGTTAACTATTAACATTCAATGAGCCTAAAGTGATGACAGGGATAATAATGTATAATTACGAAAATGTCTTCATTTTCATTTATATTTATCTCTTTAAAAGTTGTGAAGAGATGATAAATGGAAGGCTTAATTCTATTTTTATTTCCAGTGGATTGGATAACGTGTTAAGTTTTTTTAGTTAATTAAGATTTTTTATTCTTTAAATTTAATAAAAAAAATTACTGTTTTACAACTTAAATGTTATATTTTATTTTATTTTTCAACTTTATTTTGATTCATTTCAGTTATCTAACTTTTAAAAATGTTTTAAATATTTTTTTTCATTTAAAAATATTAACTCCATTAATATTTTGTCTTTTTCCATCATGAGTATTGTTTGTGCATTTCTTCTCCTTTAAGTTCTAGTACATTGTTTATTGTTTTATTTCTTAAGTCTCTAATTTCAACTTTCTCCTCCTTTTTGTGAAAGAAGATGGAGAAAGTAGAAATCACAGCTTTGTGAGACAAAAGAACAAGGAACAAACAATAAATGTAGTTAAAAAAAAATATTAATAGAATTAATATTTTTAATAATAAAAAAATCATTTGAAAAAGACAAAATCATTAGTTTTGTCTTTAACAAATTTGGTCTTCTCTCAAATTTTTCATCTAAAATTATTTTTTTCTCAAAATTTTTGCATATTGAATTGATTAAATTATTTTTTACTCAAAATTAATTAATCAAAAATATCAATTTCACTTAAAATAGATAAAATTTAAATTTTCCTCTTCAAATCATAATCTTTCATATGATGAAATTCTTAAATTTTATCTACTTTTTGTTAATCATTTTTATTTTTAAACTTTTAAAATCATTTCATTTTCTTATTTTATTACACGAAAATAAAAGTTCAGAGTTTACAGCTGAAGAAAATTAATGGAGCACAAAATTTGTATAGGTTTGAAAGTAAAGAGATTTAATTAATTTTAAAGTTTTGGAACTAAAGTTAAAGGGACAAATTTAAAATTATAAAATGCTAGAAAGTGATATTTTTGTAAGCCCATATTGTTTTGTACCCCAAAAGTACTTTAATCTTGGTTTTTACGATTTTTTTATTATAATTCTTACAATTCTATAAAATTATATATTTTTTTATCCTTTTCGTAGATTTAGCTTTATGAAAGAAAAAAAGAGGACATGTAACATTAAAATTAACATGAGTTAGTTCATCTCTTAAGATGCTGGGGTCTTGAGAGCAAGTTGAGAGTCACATGGTGTTATCGAATGCAAATAATGGTAAAAATAAGACTATAAAATTTTTAATTTTTTTATAATTCTTATATTTGACATGTCTTTTTAATATGGTTTCTATAAGAAAAACTAACAATTTAGTAAATTTGTTTTTAGAGTGTCTATGTTGTTTACAAATTTGTTGAGAATGTTAAATAAAAGAGATAAAATTTAACATGGGTATAAATTTCTTTAAAATTGACTTATTTCAGGTCTGTTCCTGACTTTTTTTGAGCCCTAGGCAAAATATTAAATTGGGGCCCTTTAAAAAAAAAATATATGACATAATACAACAAAATAAAAGCACAATTCTATTAAAATAATATGTTTTTTTAAGTAAATAGAATTTTTTTCTAATAAAATTACAAAAAAAAAATTCATTTAAATAATTCTTATGTCATCATCAACTACATTTTGCAATATTAGATACATTTGGCATATCATTAGACTCATTTGAATTATTAATTTCATCATTCTCATTGACTTCATTTTGTAAACTTTCATTTGATTGATCTAAATTTTCATGAGAAACTATATTTCTTAAAATAAATTTGTCAATAGCACCTTGCTGTGATTTTTTTAACTCTTCAGCACGTTTTTTTTTTTTTTATTTTTTCACTTTCAGATAAATGCTTTTTAGGTAACATTGCATATAAAAGATAAATAAGACAATACAATCATAAAACAAGGGAAAAAGAACAATAGCACTTGGTAGAAGAATTCAACTTAAATGTTTGCTTTCACATATGCAAATTCCACAAACATAATCCAGTCCCTAGGAATCTGAAAATATAATTATGATAATCAATTAGGGAATAAGATGATAATCAAAGGCATAACAACATATTGTAGACTTGCAGACTATAATTATAATTCGTATGCAACATGTGACACCCTTACTACTTACTAAGCAATAAATATAAATATAATCATAAAATAACTAAGCAGTAAGAACATCACATGCATGGGTATGACACCCTTACTACTTACTAAGCAATAAATATAAATACAATCATAAAATAACTAAGCAGTAAGAACATCACATGCATGGGTATATATATATTTATTCAGATATATTGAAATTAAATACATTACCATTACTAGAAGTCTTCATTTCATACATACACGTCATCTGTTAATTTATACAATCATCCAGTTATCTAAATATATACATAACTGAATTACATACGAAATAAAGTGGGGTCACGATATCAAAGATGACAACCCAAAACGAAGACCTCACGAGCTTTCCCCTGGATCCATGATCACCAAAGTGCCTATTTCCTCCCAAAATTCAACAACGGTAAGGTTAGGCTTCCTATATACCCCTTTTTCTTTTCAGTCAAAAGTACTTATACCTACGTATATGTATAGATTATTCCTTACTCGACTCTATCCTACTCTCCTTTTCCACTAGATTCCTACTCAGAGGAGGTAAAATTAGGAAGGAGTCCTGCTTGAGAAGCAGTCCTCTTCCTTCCGATAGCAGTAGAGGTGTTTGAACAGTGAGAAGAATCAGGAGAGTCTGAAGAACTAGAGGAAGACGAAGAGGAAGTGGATGAGATAGAGATAGGTCTTGCTAAAAGTGTGTCAACTAAACTAGTCCGTTCAACAGGTGGTAAATATGGTATAGAAGGACGTAAAGGTCTAAGGAAACCTGGGGGTAATACCGGGGGTGATAATACAGGGACAGGAGGTGGGGTAGGGGGTCGCACAAACTGTACATCTGGAGGAAATGGAAAAGTAAGTCTCATGGGTACTCGGATGGGGATAGGGTAAGCTCGTCGGCCTAGCCCATTTCTATCTAACAAAAAGGTAATAGATCCAGTGTGGGTGAATCGTTGTTGCTCCCAGTCGTGCACCCATTTTCCCTCGGGATCATATCTGATCGAGATGCTGAATTGGTACAGTGGTCGAGCCATCAATGTTCTTACCTAATAAACATATTCACACACAACACACATAGCAATAAAAGGGTGAGACAATTCGATTCAATCTCCAGCAGCAAAAGACATATAAGGGTTTCAATCACACAATTAATTATCAACACCCATAATCTACCAAGCAAATGCATATGCCATGAATGAGAAATGATGCAAGTCTATTATTATAACTTAGTACATTTTGACACATGCATGTGGGCCCAAAACCATAAATCTGTTTCTTTTACTCAGGGAAGGATCAGGAGTTTCACTGTTACTTAACTGCCAACTTTGTTAATCTCATAATACAGTAACAGCTCTACTAATACAAGAATCTCTCGGGACCAATCAGGATAGTAAAGTTTTGCAGTGAGAGTCCACAGCACAAGGTGGCGAGCCTTGGCCACTGTCAGATTCAATCACACGTCACTATCTCCAAGACTACCCTGGAGCTGCCCCTAGATTTCTTATACTTCCCTGTCCACTCATCACACTATCACATGTTCATGATGCATGTCTTCATTCCTAATTAATTTAATTAGAGAAAAATTTTAATTTTTCTTTTTTTTTTGTTAAGTACAATCCTTAACTTTTTCTTTTCTCAATGAAATTCGACAGAGTCTCCTCTGTAAATCAGATATTCCAAAATTTTCTTCTTCCTGTAAAACAACCAGAAAAAATCCAGAATACTTCTAATTCATTAAATTCCACCTCCATCACCTCAAAATCCAAGAAAATCGTATCTTCCCCTCTTTCTTTAAATATGTTTTCATGCTTAAAAATTGAGGACTTAATCATTTTTAAAAAAAATGATTCAAGCCTTCCAAATATCCAATACTACTTTCTCAGTAATATAATTTATTTATTTATTTTTATTAAATCCATTTTCCAAAGAAGTCAAAAGATACTTGCACTATATATAAAATACATAATTATATATATATATATATATATATATATATATATATACACCTTAAAAACATATTTTCTTCTCTCCAACAAGTCTGAATGAACATTTAGATTATGTCAATCTATATGCTCACATCACATAAAACTAAATTACTTCCAATCTTTACCATTATATGGCATTCATACCAACAAGACTATCTACACAAACACATAATGAGAATTCAACCAATTATAAAGAAATAATTCAATACGACACTTCAACCATAAATCATTCCAATACATTAATTTAAATACACAAAGGACCTTACATATAAGGGAAAGTCCTTGTTCAATCAATTTCCTGGTCTAAGGCAACCTTTCATACATGTCCAGTACTATAACAAAATCTTCTAAAAATTATGGGTTAGCTCTAAAACAACCCAAATTCATTTTATTTGATTAGAACAATAGAGAATTATTCCCTTATGGTTCTTAATGCCACCTATTGAAATAAAATCATCCCACCCCTTACCTTACGGATGTTCTTTGATGAAGGTATGGATGAATTTTTTTTTCTGATTCTTTAGAAAAACTCGAACAATCCAATCTTCGAAACGATCAACCTAATCAATTAATCATGCCTAAACATAATTAATACTAAGGAGATGCTAATTTTATACTCTTATATGTATATGTAAAAATTGAAATTTTCTAACTTTTGCT